GAGTAATTCTTTTCTTATTCTTTTAATTGATGGGACGCGTATGCAAAAACTTTACCGTGTTGCATTAACACACATCCTAATCCCTTCTTGGACGCGTCACTACAGATTACATACCCTTATGAGCTCTTGGATACTATGAGTACCGAGGTAGTTACCAATCTCTCTTTTAAGTTCTAGAAGCTTGCCTCACAAACATCATTCCATATTAATGGTACCCTTTTTCTCATTAACTGTGTCAAAGGCGAGGCTATCCTAGCGGAGTGCATGAACCTTCGATAATATCCCGATAGTCTCATTAACTGTAGTTGGACGTTCCCACTTTGTGACCGCTTTAACCTTAGTAGGATCTACGGATACTCCGTCCTTTGACACCACGTGTTCGAGGAAAGAGACTTGTCGTAACCAAAATTCGCACTTTGAGAACTTGGCGTACAACTTGTTCTCTCTTAGGGTGGCTAGGACTTTTTAGAGGTGTTCCTGGTGTTCCATGTCTGTTTTCGAGTACACTAGGATGTCATCAATGAGGACAATCACAAAAGTGTCTAGACAGTTCTTGAACACTCGATTCATTAACTCCATTAACATAGCTGGGGCATTGGCGAGGCCAAATGACATCATTACGAACTCGTAGTGATCGTACCTTGTCCTAAATGTAGTCTTTGGTATGTCTTTTTCTTTACTCTTTATTTAATGGTAACCTGATCGCAGATCTATCTTAGAAAATACTGTTGCCTCTTTTAGTTGATCGAATAAGTCTTTTAGTCTAGGCAAAGGGTATTTGTTCTTTATGGTTCTCTTGTTTAGCTCTCTATAACCGATGGCACAGACGCATCGATCCTTCTTTCTTCTTAATCAAACAACACTGGCACACCCCATGGGAATACGCTAGGTGGAATGAACCCTTTATCTAGCAAGTCTTGTAACCGTGCCTTGAGTTCCTTCAACTCTGTTGGTGCCATACAATAGGGTTCTTTGGAAATAGGCCCAGTTCCCGGCTCGAGTTCGATGACGACGTCAACCACTCAAGAAAGGGGTATTCTAAGTAGGTCGTCCGAAAATACATCCGGGAACTCGTTTACTATTGACACATTTTCTAGGGTCTTTTCTTTTCCTCTTACGTCTACGACACATGCTAATATTGTCCAACCGTCTTGTTGGATTAATCTCTTTGCTTTCATCATCATGACTACCTTTGGGATAGTCCCGGTACTCATGCCTTTAAATTTAAAGCTAGGTCTAACTGGTGGTGAGAATATCATTTTTTTTTTGCGACAGTCTATACTAGCACGGTTTGAAGCTAGTCAATCCATACCTAGTATTACGTTGAAGTCGGTCATCTTTACTACTATTAGGTCTACGCTTAGAGTTTGGTCGGCTGCTATTACTTGGTCATTCTTTACTCTATCCTTAGTTACTAGGTCTACCATCGCAGGGGTGCTTGCCGACCATACATGCAATAAAAGTTCTAATTAAAACTCTGTCTCTGATCCTTTTCAAGGTGGACTCTCTTCGGCCTCACCTCATCCTCTACCTTTAATAGGAGGTCGCCACCTTCCTCGTCTTACTCTTTCGCGTGATCTAGGCAGCATGGTTCTACAAACCAAGATAGCATCTCTTAAGTCTAAGGCTCATTACTTATGAACTTATGCTATACATCACATATACTAAGTTCACATCATATTGCAAACAAAATCACTCAGCATGCAACACATCACGTCATACTCTTAAATAAATACGTGAAATATCACACCACTTTCAGTAATATTAACATAATAATGCATGCGAGTTCGAAAACGTTTCTCTTTTCTTATCTTGTGCACGACGTACCTGATGGTGATGGGGCATCGACGTTGGGACCATGGAACGTGTCAAGCCTACATCGTAGGCTAGTCTACAAAATCTAAAACCTAGAGCATGCACTATTCATGACACAATACCAAACAAACTTTTTCGACACAAAACTTGCTGAGTCATGCATAACTCACGACATAAAGAAACTCACTAATAATCTCAAGAAATTGTTTATGATATGGAAGATCAGACATAGATGCAACCACAAATTATACTAAGAATTTTAAAAGACTTACAAATTTATACCAACATCGCTTTGATACCAAGTTGTTGAACACAACTCCTTTGTTAGAAACACTCACACTTTTATTAAAATCAATCGAGAAGAGAAACACTCACACTTAATAGGGTGGTGTCGTATTTATAGCAAAGGCTAAACAACTTACACCACATTTATTTCTAAAATATTTAAATATTTATTCAATACCTAGATATTTTTGTTCCTTAGGTACCCAACTTTTTTTTTTTTCCCTAAAAATATCTAGATATCTTTATTCTTAAATAATAGACAATTGACTCATACAATTAATTGAGTTCGACTCCATTAGGTTACTGATGATATTTTAACGTCTAGTTCTTAAAAGTTAGTTTGATCATTGAAATCATGATTGGACCTTGCTTTCATATATAGTTAGGTTTTTACTATTTTTTCGTGTCAATACAGGGGTGTGATTATTCATTAGAATCAGGTCTATACCCGCTAGGACTAAAAGACCCCAAAATATACTAGGAGGATGTGACTAGTCGTTAATTCTTTCTACTCGAGTTATATGCTATTAAAGTTATGGTTGTTGCCTATTAAATTTTAGCCTATAACATTGCTTCCTTACAAATTATTTCTAACGCATTTCTCACTCACATTTTCTAAAATTTGTTCTCACAAACGTGACTCGAGGCTCGATATACATCTAAATTACGATTTTCACACAACTAACTTATAACGGCCCAAGTCCACCGCTAGCAGATATTATCCTCTTTGGGCTTTCCTTCTCGGGAATTCCCTCAAGGCTTTAAAACGCGTCTGCTAGGGAAAGGTTTCCACACCCTTATAAAAGGTATTTCGTTCTTCTCCCCCACCATTATGGGATATCACAATCCACCCCCCTTCAGGGCCCAACATCCTCGCTAGCACTCATTCCTTTCTCCAATCGCTGTGGGACCACCACCAAATCCACCCCCCTTCGGGGACCAGCATCCTTACTGCCACCTCGTGTCTACCCCTATTTGGGGAATAGCCTCCCAGCTGGCACATAGTTCGGTGTCTGGCTCTAATACCATTTGTAATGAATCGAAAAAAAATTGCAAAGTCGCTGGCAAGGTCACGAAAATTCCGGCGGTTGTTGGAATTTTCAGATCTCTCGCAACCACAACCATGAGGAACGCCCAAACATTCCCTCTCATCCTCCAGCCTTCAGCATCGACCTCTAGAGCACCTGCAAATAGAGAAGTGAAGGAAAAGAGAAGAGTGAGAGAGAGTAACCACCTTTTTCCTACGAAACCTGAGAATGGAACCTACGAAGGAAAACACCCATAACCGACGTCAAACGCTTAGTTTCCATCACAGGAAGGATTTTCGTCAACCGTACAGCAACCCAGGGTAAGTTTTAGGCCCTTTTCATACGCGTCGTCGGAAAAAACGAGGTTGAAATTCAGATTTCCTTAACTTGCAGAGGTTTGTGGTTTTAGGTATTGATAGGCCATGAAACTTCGAGGAAAGAAAAATAAAGAGGAGAAGGAAGAAAGAGGACCGAAATTGGCTTCAAAAATATCGTGGGAAGGAGAGAGAAAACGTGCTGAAAAATCGCGTAGAAGTCGGGTAAGGAAGACGAGATCCACTGGATCTAGGTCAACCCGAGAACCAGCCCGACTCCTTTCTCCTCAGCCTTTGCCTTCGGCCAAGCCCAACTACAGCGACCCAAACCTCATTCCAGCCCAGTAGCCTACGGTTCAGCTGAACCAACCCGAGACCAGACCCACGCCTTGCAGCCTAAGTATCTACCCAGTCTAGTAAGCCGAGGCCCAAAAGTTAGTCCAGCCCAGTAGCCATCTACAACCAACGACCCGCGGGCAGACCCGAACCAGCCTCGACCCAACGCCACCTACACTACGTGGCACGTCCTGCTGCTGCCACGTGGTGTCTAGTGGCATAGGCACTCCTTCGGCTCGGCTCGGGCAAACGGTTCGGCGATGCTCTAGCAGCTGTTCGGCTTGACTTCTCATTTTTCAACCTGATTTCCACCGTTTTGATCCTCCCGGAACCATTTTTTGCCCCGGTTAAGGTAATCAAGGCCTTTTTAGAGTCGTATTTCACATTTATTGAATTATTATCAATTTAATTGTGAAATACTAACGGAAGGTGGCTAACGGTGTGATAGGAAACAAACCCCGACAACTTTGGAAGTAACTCTCAAGGAACGGGAGCTTACATATAACTAATTAGGGAGCACTTCGGCCAAGGCCAACGAAGTAAGTGGCTTTACTTTAGGATAGGCTAGAATTGTTTGTGTTAGAGTCTTATTTACAAGTATGATGATGTATGATGAATATGATGATGTAAGATGATTATGAGGATGTATGAGCATGATGCTCGAGCTGTAATGCATGTTATATGTACGTGACTTGTATTTCAATGCATGACGTACTTATTATGTTTGATGCACTGTATGGGTTATAGATGAGTATGACGTTGTATGATGTTTTCCATATTGAGTATGTTATATGATGATGATTGTCATACTGCATCATGTCGCTAGATCGACCTAGGACATAACCCTAAGAGCATGAAAATGATATTAATATAAATATCCTCGAGTATGTGTTTGTTGAGATTTATGCCCTAAAGCCTCGTATTTAATTATTAGTTTCTAACAATAATTTTTATCATTTTATTTGTAATTTAATTATTATCCATGGTACGAAAATCCAAGGTTATTAATGTAATCTTGACAGTATGTGGTTGACATACAAGAGGATCGTATTCAAGTAATAACCTAAAGAGTCTATAGTATATGGATAAGGTTGGGTGCCTTATCCTGGTAACACTGTTGATACGGCCCACTTTGTAATCGTTATAAATTATTTGATCAAAATTGTTCATGTGGAGACCTTGTGGAATGTGGAAGGAAGATCTTGTGGAATGTGGAAGGAAGATCGTTCTTCAATCTCTTTGGGATTTTCTTTCAAGAGGCTCCCACAAGCCTTGACCTTGTGTTCAAGTCATAGCAAGGAAGATCTTGTTGAATGTGGAAGAACTTTTGCATGGTTGGAATACTTCAAGGAGTCTTGCAAGTTAGAGTTTCTACAAAAGTAGAGTTTTTACTCTCGAATTTATTGCTTTGTTTTAATTCTTAAGAAAAATTAAAACGGTTGTCAATGCTTCCGCTATGTGGATGAAGAGTTCATTCCCTTCTATGTTACCCAGAGTAACAAAGAAGATGAGAATAGATGGTTGTGTCAGAAGAGACATTATGATGGATTTAGAGGGACCTCATACATGTTGTATGTTCATAAGCATAGGGCTACATCCCCTAGAAATGATGAGTGCAGATGCGCATAGTATGATGATGAGTGCGAATGCGCACAGATGAGGATGTTCATGAGACGCATGACACTATGGGGTTCTGCTGACCTCCGGATGTCGCTATAAATTAGCTTGACCAGAGGATCCAGGAGGTGTGCGAGAGCCCACGGGATTCACACTCGCACGTGTGAGTCATGTGTAAGGAAGTACTCAGACCGTGTGCCATATTGTTCTAAAAGCAAGGCACTCATGTATGGGTTGACGACGGCATCGAAATTCAGAGACTGTGACGCGTGCATAGGGTAGTTGCATATTTAATTTTCTAGTCTTAGGTTAGTATAGGACGTTTGCATTTCATTATTTAAATTATTTCATTTGTACTTGTTTCTATTTTTATTTAAAAAAATTCCAGCATTATGTTTTGAAACATATAAGTACGGCAGTGTTTTTCTATCAGTTTGAAGGGTCGTGAAAGTTTTAATTGTTCTGTTGTTTATGATGTGCATTTAAGAGTTATATTCCACATTTAAGATGAGCACATTAGTAGTGACTCTAAATTACGATTTTCACACGACTAACTTGTTCACCGAATTAGAACTAATGTCTCATAATCGTTGTTTCGCTTCCACAAAGAGTGCAATTGTAACATCAAGCACCTATAGAGACGCTTAGCTGACGAAGACAATGGAGTAAACCAAAAAGAAATCGTAGGAAGCCATTGTTGCTGGGGCTCGATCGGGAGAACATGTGTTGGAAGCAACCTATCAGCATTTGACACATGTCGTGTTTGGAGAGCTAGTTTACCTTTGGCAGCGCATATTGTACCTACACGTGAAGTCGTGTGTGTCCCCTTTTCTAGCTTGCGCTCAAGGCCCATGAGGCGTGACCTACCAGAAAAAATTCAGAAATTTTGGGACTCCTAACAGTCATAAAAGCTAGCTTGGGAAAGCTCATGTCATCCAAGTAAATAACCACATAAACTTTAGGCAAGTAATACTTGTAGGGATCGCTAGGATGTGCTAGCATTCGAGCATTCCTTAGATGGTTAAAAAGTACATTATTGGATGAGTATGTGTTTTATGTATAGTTAAGAAAATTACTATTACGCCCCTAGGTTGAGATTTTTGAGAAACATGCTTTATGTAAAGCTAGAAAAAGAATATGCATCACTAAAATAGGAGTTGGACAATATAAATGAGTAAAATATGTAAGAAGTAAAAAATTACCAAACTGCCCTTATGATGAGATTTGTGATGTATACTATTTTAATTGTTTTCGATTGTGGTAGAAAGAAGAATGGACTATTTTGATCTATACTTTGGGCAGTTGATAAATATTATCTCTCCGTTGAGCTTGTATGTTTGCATGATATAGTATATTTAGCTCCGAGTTGTTGATTGTGTGTTTTTCCTATAAAGTTTATTTATCTGCACAAGGTTGGAACTAGGGCGCTAGATGACTTAGGTTAGGAAGTCTCTAACATATTGAGCACCTTAGGATCGTGAGCAGCAGTCAGTGAGTCTAGACCCTAGTGTTCTCAGACTAAGAAAGACTCGAAGAGTCAAAACAAGGTACCCTAGAGCCAAAAGTCATCGATAAGCCACCTAAATCCCTTAGGAATCCAATGCATATCATACTCATGGTAATCGATGAGATACTCTCCCTAGTAAAGCATGCACCATAAACCAAGCTAAGTTTAGGGTGCTACAGTTATAACGGTTTACATGTTGACTCAAGTCAATACGTTTCTAGTAAACACTTCACCCTAGGATTGTGAGAAGACCTATGTGTACTCAAAGGATGGATTAGCTCGAGGAGTTGGTCTTAGATGTCCTAGAAATAAGATATGAGTTTTAAACAGCCTAGATGTCTCTAAGAACCTACTAGACATCCACAAAATCCAAAAATAAGAAAGTTAGTTCTTCAAGTTGTTAGTAGTATGCATGGTGTCATCAGTTTAAAGGTGACCAGTTAGAGTAGTCTGCCAAGGCGACTAGTGGCCCTACCTGCGACTAGTGGCCCTACCTTGTGGAAATGTTGCGACAGTAAACGCGCCTTGAGTTGGGGCATAGTACTATATAGGTTGACTCAATAACTGGCTAGCACATAAGGTCATACCTCTCAAGGTGAGTTTGTGGAAGTGTTTGTCAGTTAGCCCTTCTATGAATGACAATTAAGCTAGCAATCATCATATCATATCATCCCATCAATAGTTTTATGAAGTACGTGAGCGTAATAAGCTCCTAAATCTAAGAAGAGAAAAGTAGATTATCCCAAATATGAGATTTTATGTCCATAAGACCTATGATGCCAAAAATGATGAACCATTTCCTCTAAACCTAAAGTGGGTTTGTGAGTAACTAAAGTATCGTTTAGAATTTTAGGGCACCAAGATACTTAGATAGCAATAGAGACTAGATCCGAATTTCCTAGAGCCCAGAGTAAAGCTCGTGGATATCTACTAGGATAAGAATGTAAGGAGGACCTACAAGTAGGTTGCTTACTAAATATTTTTATACTCACTGCTTTCTCCCTTTTTTTTTCAATTGTTCATAGGCCACCAGTCGAGATTGAGGAGCGTTCGAGGGTTGTGTAGTCATGGAAGGGTTGTTCTCAAGTGTCAATTCATCCTTGTAATTTGATAGCATTTTGTATTTAGTTGTAGTGTTATTTTGTTATCTTTATTTCAATTTAAATTTTATCAGATTTCCATATTTTATTCTTTATTTATCTTTTCTTTTATTTGCTTTTGGTCTATCTTTTTAGTCACGGTCGGTCTGAGATTTGAAGTCTCGAAAATTGGGTTATGATACCTTCTCATCCATGCAAATCAAAGGCACAAGTTCTAATATACAGGAGTTTATAACTCACTTACGATTAACTTCGGACCACATATAGTCATCTTATGAAATATTAATTCTCAATTACTAGATTTATAAAGAGAGATAAAATATTTCATGACTCAATCTTATACAAACTCATTGCACTCACATGTCTCCACATAAAATAATTTGGATCAAATCATTTGTAACAATTACAAAATAGGTCGTATCAATAGTGTTACCAAGATAAGATACTCAACCTTATCCATATAACCCATTTAGATTATTACTTGTGCATGATCCTTTAATATGTCAACCACAAGGTTTCACTAATAATCTTGAGTTTTTCAAACAAGGTATAATATTAAATTACAAATAAAATAATAAAAATTATTATTAAATAATAAATTACGAGACTTTAGAATATAAATCTCAACACTAAATACATGAAAGTTATACGTGTAAAATTGATATATATGAAAGTGATGCATACCTATATGAAAGGGATACATAGAGTGCATGAAAGTAATTGAGATGTTTGTTGTATCAAATTGACATACATGGAACATCCCGCCAAAAGCAAATGGTTCGGTCACACTAGTATATAAATCATGTATATCTTTACCATTTTCTCATTGTTTTGCATAATTTTGTTTAATTAGTTTAAAATCGTCAACACCCATTTAAATAATATAAAAAAACTCACTTAATTTCGAGCCATAGGAGTAACCAAAAGAAATAGCTTCCCTCTAGAATCAATAATTTACTTATTCCTTAATTTTAAGTCATTTTATAATATTTAAGTTACAAATAAAGAGGAGAGGAAGCCTATAGCCTAGAGGATATGAAGCCATGGGAAAAGAGATCCACACCTTTTAACCTTTAACCTCTCACCTCTTTTATTCATTTATTTATTTAACCAAAGACAGTGTAGTTATTTAAGTGCACCACCCATGATGCCAACCAGAATTAATTTCCACGCCTTTATATATATATATATATATATGTAGACACCACAAGCACACAACTCGATCAGAGAGGCAGAGAGAAAAGATGTGTCGATGCCATTGAAAGGGTACCATCATCGAATTGGAAGCATCGGAGTGTGGAGCATCTTCATACACAACCCTCCATGAAGACATACAACACTTCCAACAAAACCCAACCGGTGTGCTCCCTCGCAAATCTGTCAAAAACCTGTTCTTTTTTTTCTCTCTCCGACAACATTCTCACCTTCTTCCCTTATCCAATTTGTTCTTTTTTGGTTTCTTTTTCATGTATTGGCCCAGAAATATGAACTTGTTATGATCTAATTTAAATTTCTTATGGATCTTCGCAAAGATTATGATTTTTTTTTTTTTTTTTTTTTTACCATATTGGTGAGAGAAAGAGAGAGAACCATCTTTCTTTTACTTAATTTTTAAGAAAAATGTAAGTATGAAATAAAAAAAAAATAAAAAAAGCTATTTTTACCGTAGATGAGCTTCATCCAGCTACTACCTGAATAATGATAATAATAAATAAACAAGGGAGGAAAAAGGGAAAAGAGGAACAGACTTTTGTTCGATTTTTACCGTCAATAATTGCTTTCATTTTTGTCGATTCCAAACGTTAAAAAATATTATTTTTATGAATGCCCAATGATATATGGTTTTTTTTTAGTGTACAAAGTTCGTACTATCGAAAACTAATAAAAAAGAAAGGAAAATGAATAGTATCGTGAGTGTACATATTTATAATAATATATTGGAGAAATAATATGTGATCAAATGCATAATTTTTTTACCCCATATTAGTGACGTTATTACATGCAAGTTTTGAACACGTACGTGGAAATTCATATTAAATACTTTTAAGCTATGAATTTACCTATTCAATTTGAGATACAAAAA